AGAATTGCACCGGGGCAGGCAGGAAAATGATTTTAAAAAACCTACCACACTTGTGGTGTTCCCATCAAGACATTTCTCCTTATAGATGAATCAAGTAAGAACTGTCATTTCACATGAGGGAATGAAACAGACCTGTTCTCTCAACCTCACTTTGCAAGCTATGCTGTGAACGCAGATTCAAACGCAACACGTTGCTGCTTTGCCTTACGCAGAATTAAGCTGACTACGGATCTGGGAGAAGGGGCACTGGTTTTTGATGGGATTAAATTTTCCAGAAGGACTCGGAATCAGGGAAGTCTCTTCCCCCCTCCCCCCCAAGAGAAAAGTTTGACCCAGAATCTGAAAAGTCAAAAAACTCCTCTTTATATTCTCACTCTGGTGGAAGGAAAACAAGCAGAATTACCCAGTTCCATTAAAAACAGAACGGAGAATTCAGAGGTCACAAGAGCGTTTAATAATTCTAGCAAACCCACATACATTAGAATAGATATCAGAGTTGTAGCTGTTAACATAGCCATGGAAGGCATTGCTAATAAGGCAAGAGACAGCAATCTCCGCTGATTTTGGTTTGTTTTTTTTTTTTCCTGGTCCACTAGCTAATAGGACTACCACTGAAAAATCCATATCACTGCTTTTAGTGCAGTGTAAAAAGTGGATGGTCTCTCCTTTTCTTGTAATAGTGCTTTGACAAAAAAAGCCATTTCTGAGTAGCATCTATATATTACATAAATCAACCATTAATCTCAAATCAATCACCAGTGAGCTTAGAAATGTTAACTAGTAAAGTTCACTATGCAGTAAGTATAACGAATTTCCTCTCAGATTCTTATTTATATTTTCAGAATACACAAAGCAAGTTTCCTGTGTTACTGCAGTGGGGAGATTCTCTTTTCAAGGTAAGCCTTCTATACCTACTACAGAGGAAGGGCTTTGGCTGTTATATTAAAACTCTGAAACCACTGGAACAGTATCCTCTCAGCCTAAACTTCTAACACCTGAATTTACATCACTAAATATTGGTGGAGCCATTTGGGATAACTTTGGATTTCTGCCTCAACTTGATCCTGCTTGGCTGCCAGGATCACAAATATTAGATCCTCACAAAGCACATAAAAACCTACACAAAATCAGAATGCTCCAACCATGACTGAAGGTAAAAGTTAAGCCCAAAATGAGCCTGAGGAAGCCAGCATCCACAATACTTGCTCATTTGTCAAAGTTAGTTACTTATAATTTGAAAATATGCAACCTGATTTTAACTAGACATATTCCATTATCTTTGAAATAAAATAATTTATATTAATTCTTCAGCTAATATTGAAAAGCCTAAGCAATAATTTTAAAAATATGTCAGTTGTTACAGAAACACACACCAAAACATTGTACATTTTTCCCCTGTGCTTTCTGATTACCAACCAGTCATACTCAGTAACATTTATTCTTTAATTCCTCCTCCACATATATATGTATCTAATATTTGAATATATAAGAAGTGACATAGAGGTTCAGTCACAAACTAGATAAATGGAGCTGTGTGCTATTTTTTAAAGTAACCATATTTATAGGCAGTCAACCCATGTCATTCATGTCAACTTTAACAGTATGTTAGTAAAACAAATAGTTTTGGAATTCAGGTTTTTCATTGCCTTAGAACACTTGGTCAGGATCTATGTTGCTTTGTTTGGTTGGTTTTTTTTCCCCAGAGTATGAGACTTTATGATAATAGGTTTCTGATTCATAAATCAAAGCTACCATGTGCTATCACAATAAAAGCATCAACACAGACTCTTGTAGAAACAGTTCATCGAGAAAAACTTAGCCTTGTGGTTCAGCATGAACTACTGGATTCGTATTTGAGAATCAAGCAGTAGAATACCAAAGCCTAGCACCTAGCACACAGATCTGACAACATGTGTCCAGTATTAGTACATCGTTTTGAAGAGGAATATCTTGGCTCTACGTAGAGTGGTAAAAATCCACTCCTTTTGTTTATGTGTCAGAAGTCACGTGTATTCATTAAGATCTCCTGTGTATTTAAGAATACTTTTCCCACATATACCCCCATCCATGCCTATAAGAGTGATGTCCTTGCAGAGTACTTGCTGTACATGGAAGGAAGGAAAAAATATATAGTAATGATACTCCCAAAACAATTTTAAGAGTGATCCATATCAGTAAAACAGTTCTGGTCTCTGTCTCCCACTAGGACCTCGTTTGTACTAGTTAATGTACTAATTTCCTAATTGATTGTAAAACTACATGTGATTGTCTATGCTCTGTACATGCTATAAGCTTTAGTCTGAAACATTAGATCAGGCTCCTCTCCATCATTTCTGCTTCATGAAGACAGTGTCTATAGTGATTATGTGTTTAAACATAAAAACCCTCCCAAACTCCACAAAGTGGCCAACGCTTCTGCTTCTAATGAGAATCTGTCTCCCTGCCTTTTGCACTACTGCTTTCCCAGATGCCAACAGCCTAACTTGCCCAGGATCTGGGAAATGGATATCGCAGTTGCACAAACCAGCTGTGCACATACACCAACTCTTTGCTGTATCCATGGGAAGTTTCATGTGCCTGTGCACCATGTAGCTACAGTGTTTGACGGTCTTGCACCATCCACTTTGGATCTGTTAGTGTTGTCAAGCTTGGGACATATTCTTTTCAACAATTCACATTTTTTTTCTACAGCAATTACAGTTCTAAAACATTTTCCTAATGATAGTAGAGAGCAGAAAGAACTTACCAAAGTAACTTGCAAAGCAGAATGTGCTTTCAGGTACAATTTGCAATTAGTATGTTCTCTAATATAGAGGCATCTATTACCAGTAACAAAATTATTCATATGTTCAAATCTTCAAATTTGCTGTTATTGCAGCTTTCTTCTGCTTAAACCACACCTAATTCAGGATCCATTTGGCTGATTTAATAGTAGTCGCTCCATTTTCTCTAGGTGGCCTGTCCATGCTAGTAGGAAATTTAACTGTGAATGTGTAACTTCCAAATACTTTACAGGATGAGAATAAAGGTAGCATTTAATTCCTTTCACTCAGATTTGCTTATAATGCAACTCTGATTTTATACATTAAATACTATTATTTGCCCTCTGAAATCTTGAGTGTTAAATTGTTATTCTTTCATGTTTTTGGAGTTACCATAAAATGAAGCCACACAAAGTACGTTTTACTCATATTTCACTATTTAGGGAAAAGTGAATCAGTAAGATTAGTCTAGAAAGAGATCATATAGCAGTAAAAAATGCACCAAATTTGTTTTGAAGACATATGTGTGATCTAAATCTTTGCAAGCTATCTTAACTGAGAAACACGATCCTCACTTTTTGCCTTTCATGGTATGAATTTCCAGCTGCAGGTAGGGTCAATCACAAGCTCCATCCTCCATCGATGATTAGTTCGTTGCCAGTTATGTAGGCAGACTGAAATTATAGTAAAAGCAACAATAATTTTAACAAATTTTTCATGGCTATTAAGTACAGGGAAATACTTTTTCTTTAAATTAAAAAACCTGCTTTCTTTTTATGCACTTTTTTTAGTTTGCAAAAAAATCTGAATAAATAGAATATAAAAAAAACTTAGAAATGGAGGCCTTTCCACTAACTCAGGGGAGTGTAGTAAAAGATGAGAATGCTTCCTGAGTGTACAAATTCACATAAGCTAGACTTCAGGTGTCTTACCTGCAGGGATAATACCTCGCACTATGATGTTATTAGCTCTGTTCAGCTAAGCAGAATCTGACCAGGTCAGTCAATAATTATAACAGGACCCAACTGAAAATTTAGATCTTGCAGATTGTGAGGTAAGCAACCGAGCTGTTGACATTCTTCTCTATGTCAGTACTGGAGCGTACTGGAATATATTGGAAAACTGGAATTCTGTCTACACATGATTGAAAACCCTATGATCAGAGTGCAAAAAATCAGTAGCTTTACAGAAACACTAACACCAAGATGAAAATGAGAAACAGATTACTGATAGCAAAATTAAGCCTGAATTAATTCTATTAAAGTATTGTTATGCTTAGCAGGACTGCTGGACAAGTCCAGAGGAATCCAGTCCAATTTTAGATTCATAGCAAGTTTAGAGCATCCAAAATAACCTTGATGTGTGCTCATTAGTGTTGGTGGTATTTGCAGCAGTCATTAAGAGTTTGGTGTATAACAACCTCTGTGGGTCTGTTGTTTTCCTTAGGCTGAAAGGGTAGATTCACTCTGAACGTCAGCCTTTTAGCTAAAGTCTCCAGCGGTTCTATGCAAATATTTGCCCTTGAATAGTGAAGGTAGGTGATAACTTACTAATTCTACCTCCTTAAAACATGATCTAGCTGTGGTGCAAACTTGGAAAAGCAGACAATCATTCTTCTGTCATTCAGGATGACCTGGTGTCAGTCAGCTTGCTCAGATGACATGAAGCCACCAGGCTGTGGTACTAAATTCATAATGCCTTAACAATCACTGTCAACATTCAGAGTACTTTTTGTATTGTAGGTTGAATTCAGTAGAAGACCGTCAGGTTGTTTGGGTTTTTGGGTTTTTTCCTTATATAATCCATTTCAAAGACAATATAAATCCTCCTATAACAGATTCTTTCTTCTGTGAAACAGCAACAGCAAAGTAGCATGGGATTCTGTGACAGGAAACGTTGTCATTCCATACTTACTTCATCAGAGGCCAAGTACACAAAGAGATGGGCAACTTCTTCAGCAGTAGCCATCCTACCAGTCTTCTGTCTGGCTAGAAAGTCTTTCAGTGCCTAGATATACAAGAGCATTTGGTATATAAAAAATAAAACCAATTATTTTAATCTGATTCGTATGACATGTACAAAGCAATACTGGAAACAGGCCATAAGTCATAACTCTTTAGTACACTAGCTAGGGAGCTTATGCTAGAAAAAAATTGGAGTGATATGAATTTCAGGTTGAAAAATAGTAGGGAGACTGGGCCTAAATCTCTGGTTCCAGAATAAAGCCATCATAAGTCCTTCCTTTGGTGGTAGATACTCCCAGGCCCTTCAAAGGAGGGCTCACAGTTATCTGGTCAGTATGGTCAAGGATGCCAAATAATTTTGAAATGCATAGGCCAGAATGCCCTTTCTGTCATGGTTTTGCACTACTTTGTGGCTGCCACATGCCAAAGTAGAACATGTCTTCTACTTTTGCACTAGATGCTGTCACCAATGGTTGCAAATACTTCCATAGATGACAGACCCTCTGTATTCATTAAGCAATAGTAATCTTCTGAGGCATTTTAAGACTTTTGTCTTGAGTACAAACTGACCAGACTATCAGAGGAGACACTACTGTTATCATTGGAACTCTGAAATAGGGGACATTCGTAAAGCTAGGGACACTCTTTATTTGTTGTGGTGGTTTTTGGTTTGGTTTTTGTGGTTGTTTTTTGGGTGGGTTTTTTGGGGGGTATTTATTAGTTAAATATATTTATGCACACGATCAAACAAATACATTTTCTCACCTGTTCTGGGTTAGGCCGGGCTTGTATTCTTTCCTGTAAAGATGGTGTGTCAACAGTTCCTAAGCAAAATTCAATGTTAAAAAAATCAACTGCATCAACAATCATGAAAAAAAAAAAAAGTGATACATTGGTTCTATTTGTATGTCTTAATACTTAAGTGTAATTTCACAACGTGATTCAGGAGAAAGACTGCAAAACTATAAACATAGCATAGGACTAAATTTCAATAAAAGGTCAGACTTCTGAAAATTAGATTCAATACTTTTCAGATGGTCAAACAATGGCTAGCCTGTTAGCTAGCCCTTGCTGGCTTCTAACTTCCAGATCATGTCTTTGAAAATAAAGATTGAAAATATCGTGTAATGCGTATATTACGTACATGTGCTGAGTGAACAGACTAAACATTCAGCTTTACTATAAATGTAATAACTTTTCTATTTTAAAATCTCAGAAGCATTTCAAGCATGTCCTGTTCTTTTTGACTGCCGGTAACTTTAGTTGCCACTTGCAAGTCTCTCTGTTAATAATGTCAAACTAAATCAGGCCTTCTAGCATCTGCTCTTAGTTTACAAAATAACGTAAGAATACTTACCGGGACATATGCAGTTGCATCTGATGCCTTGTTCAATGAAATCAGCAGCCACAGACTTTGTTAGACCAATAACTGCTGCCTTTGAAGTACTATATACACATCTGTTCACAACTCCTAACAGCAGGTCAGTGTGAAAGCAGCATAGAAACATTAAAAAAAAAAGAAAAGAGCCAAGTTTGTTCAATATGCACCTGCTTCTGGACTCTGGTATTTCCTGTAGCACCTGTAGTCTCTCCATAAGGGGGGGCTACCTAGCATGGTGACTGACAGAATTCTGCTTGGGCACACACCAGAGCAAAGCACACAGTCTTTCAACAGCGTCAGTTTGGGGACTACTCTAGAAAAGTTAACAAAGCAAAGATTGAGGAACAACAGAGACCCATCTGTTAGTCACCATCACGTTTCCTTGGGAAACACAGCTACAGTGCTTGCACAACTGTGATTGCGTCATTGTTTCTCTGAAGAACATACGTAGCAAGATATCACTGCAAGTAATTTCTTTTCAGTTAATACAAACTAGTAAGATGGATGCTACAAAACATCCAGCACAGATTCAAAAGCTCAAAGGCAAGAATCTTAGTGTTTCTGCCATTTTGCATCTGTGTCCTTGCTCATATGTACAAGTTGATGTGTTCACTTTCATTTTTAACTGCATCCCTCCACAGGATTGGCAGTGTCCTCTAAAATCAAAGTTGTGTGGTATTTATTTTGTAATCCTATCATTTTATAGATTTACATAATGAAATCTCTAGCAAGCTACTGACCTTTAATGCTGGATGCCACAGAAGACATATTTATAATATTTCCAGATTTTTGTTTAAGCATCTGCAAAAGAATATTTATGTCATTCAGATGTAAACTATTCTGTCATCTGCAGAACAGCCCATAACAGCCCGCAGAATAGTGCTACATGCAATTGATACAGGGTAACAAAGCTTAATTGGCATGAATATGTGCTTGTCTCTTTTTGATCCATTGACTGAAGTAGTAAAGCAGAATCTGAAAATTTTCACTAGGTCCTCCTAAGTCATCTCAGGGGTGAAGACTACGACAGGAGAGGACTCTCTTCCCCCCAGATAGCCACCTCTGTATCATTGCCCTCTTGTCACCACAGTAAGTTACCCCAGAGATATCTGTTCATGCCATCTACCAATGAAGTAATTCAGTGATCCAATTCAAGCTTTTCTTGCTTTGGAGAATACTAAAACACAGCTCTGTAGCATCTTTGAATTCTATGTAAATTTCTTTAAGTTATATCCTTTTTAGGCATCCCAAGACCCAAGACACCTAGAGTTCTCAAAAAAAGGACTGGAACAACACTGAAGAGAGCAGTCATCATCCAGTCATGGTCACAGCTTCCACATCTGGCCTTTGCATTTACAGAAATACAAACACCTTATTCAGCTCACAAGTTTTTGTAGGCCTGAACCTAGCTGTTAGGTCAAACACAAGTGTCCTCAAGCTGCTAGACTAATTGAATTGTTGTTCTGATATAACCAGCATGTTGGCATCAGCGACACTGAATTGCTTCACAAGATAGTTTCATAAAATTCATGTTAATATACATCTTTATAAATATTTTGTAGCAGTGGTATTGTGCACCTGTGCCCTATAGGATGATACGGTAGCATTGTATCACAATGACTCCTTAACTGCTCTGTGTTTGAAGGATTTTAGTTACAAATTACATAGGACAAAATCCCTGAATTAATCTTCTCTACCATATCCTTTAGCTAGATTGTCTATGTGAAGGATTACACAATGCAGAGAATGTTTCAGAGTCACTATAATCTAAGGGGCTCCCATATCCAAAGCTGCATTTTTATCTCAAATCCCATGCTGTCTCAGTGGCAGCAACTTAGATCTCTCACACTTTAAACACAATGTAGCAGACACTTAAAATTATGGGCAACCAAGCCTTACTTTAGGAAGGAATGTCTTGATCATTAGATACATGCTGTGAACATTGAGGTTCATAGTGAAGTTCCAGTCTACCTCCTCACACTCCAAAATGGTTCCATGGTGAACAAACCTAGAATAAGTGCATGATGTGGATTACTATCTGGTTTGCGTTTCTATGGCTTTTTATGCTTATTTTTCCATTTCTATTTTGCAGTAGCTAACTCTTCCAACCTTGAAAAGGATGGACAAGATTTCTTTTGAAGAAAGCAAGCAACAGTATATTTCTTCTGATGAGTATCAGAGACACAAGGCAGACTCAATATGTGTAAAGAAATGCTTGGCAATAGGGAAATGGAAAAAAAAAAAAAGTAAAGCACTAGCAGATCATCAGGTTTGCTCACTGTTGTGCTAGGAGGGCCAAAGCCATCAGTATAGGGCTCCTGTACAGCTGGGAAAACACAAATTCCAGAACCATTCTATCTTGGCCTGGGTAACATGGCTGCATACAAAAAGTTCAGTTTTTATGAAAACATATGAAAGCTTTTATTAAAGGTATAAAATGCACTAAAGCAAAAGAAAGAAAATGCATTTAAGTAAAAGAAAGTACTTGTGGAGGACAGGGAAAACTGGAAAAATAGGAGGATGAAACAGAAGCCGGTTACCCTGCAATGTTACAGAGGACATCAATCCTTTCAATCTCCTTGGCCAGGTTTTCTATCTGCTCCTTTTTGGTGACATCCAGAACCCGTATTTGAATGCCTAGAAAAACACGGTATTTGGCTAAGGATCAGCAGTTAATTTTTCTCAAGTGCTGAGAACTGCACCTACAATTCAAGTCAGTGGTTTGCCAGGAACAGTCCCCCCTCAGTGGTACACCAAGGCATGGAGACTCGCTGAGAGTTACACTTAATGATTAAGTTAGTGCAGTGGTTCAACTGGGACAGCAAGACATGCTATATAAAATTTCAGAAGAGAAATAAAAATATACCAACTCATTTGATTGTCATACAGCATCACACAAGCAGATGAGCTAACAATTTACCATAGAAACATTTCTGACAAATTTGAGTTCCACTCTCCTCGCAAACTGAAGAATTACAGAACCTTTATAATAATAAAAAAATACCCATTATTACAGAATAATAATTACTTTTAACTAGTGACACGTCACATGCACTCGCAGTCACATGACATGCTATCTATCCAGATGTAGTTGAGGATGCAGTAGTGAGTAGTTCCATGAGTAGTGAATCAGCTCTATATCATTTAATTAATGAGAAAAAGTTATTTTGCATAAGCCGTTAACTTGTATTACCTAGAATGATATCACAGCAATTATTTAATTGCAAAAACATAAGCATTGTATTTGTAAACTTGTTTATAATCAAACAAAAGAAGGCTTGGAATCTCATTGCTTTTCACTGTAACTATCTACTTATTTCAGCCTCTGACAGCTGTCACTGTCAGTACTTACAGCACTGGCTGTGCCTGTACCATACCTTCAAGAAAGACATTGATTAAAAAAAAATAATAATCCTATGTTGTTGAGGAAAGTTATCTCTGAAAGACTGAGACACATCATTACTGCAAAACAGGGACAGGAACAACTGTCACAAACACTTTCTGACAGAATCAGTCCCACTAATAACAGAACTACTTTAGGGCCAACAACAGCAGTGCCATCCCTGAGACAGAAGTGAAAAGAGCAAAATAGAAGAGCTACACTTCCAGAGGAGCTGTAATATATGATATGATATAATCTATATGTTGTCTTACCTCATTTTACTTAAGTAGCTCCCAGGAATCTAACAACTAGCTTCTCTCACCCATGCCAAGGCTGAATCCTTACTACGGAACAGGCGTGCTTCATGATACACTTCGCCTGCACCCTCCCTCCATACTGCATGTAAAGATTGAGCTGTGCTCCCTCCTTAAATACATGAACTTTTCATCCAAAGGAGACCTGGATGAGTGGAAAAGGAGTAGTCAGGGTATACTCCAGTACCTCCCTTAGCAGGTACAATTAGGCTCCCAGGGCACTAAGACTTGCTGCTGATTGCCATTTTGCCACAGCCTGGTCACGGCATATACTGCATCTAGGATGAAGGGACATTTAGTGCAGGTGTGCAGGGACACACCTGCGCCCCAAAACAAAGGATTTTTTTCCAATTTACTAATGTGCAGCTAGTGACACAGTCTAATAAACGTCTACAACCACCTATTGAGAGACTGTAGAGAAGATGGAGCCAGACTCCTCAGAAGCCCACAGCAGAAGGATGAAAGGCAACAGAAAGAAGCTGGAACATGGGAAAGTGACTGAATATAAGGTTTGGTGGTTTGGTTTTTTTGTTTGGTGGGGTTTTTTTTGTTGTTGTTTGTTTGTTTATTTTCTTTTTTACATCTCATTACTATTTTTAAACCATGAGGGCAGTTGCACTGGAACAGGAGCCTACAGAGGCTGTTGAGGAAATTCCATCCTTGGAGATGTTCAGAACTTGACTCAACACAGCCCTGAGCCAGGCCACTTTGAGCAGTAAGCAGGACTAAATGGCCTCCAGAGGTCTCATCCAGTGTACATGATTTTATGTAATACTGTAAAGCTGTCTGTGTGATACCTAAATTATGGGAGAATTTGAACTGAAATGGATAAACCTGTTTCTTTGAAGCCAAACTGACAAGTCCATGAACAAGCTTTATATGTCTAAGTTAAATTATACAGACACTTTTAAAGAGATTTGTGTATAATGATGCAATTGGACTCCAGGCTGGTGATTAATATCAGCCCTGGAATTACCCCTCCTGGATAAAATTCAAAGACCACAATGTGCCAACCCTTGAAGAATTATAGTTTAACTAATCATATGTCAAAAGGATGGAAATGGCTCTGCGTATATGGAAAGTTACCTCTTTCCTTGTGAGCAGACTAGCAGAGGGAAAAAATGCACAGTTAAAAACATAACACTTTTCTAAACCCTGAGAATGAACCTGGAAAGTCCTAAAGATCCTAAAGAATTGCAAAGGGATTGCCTGTGGTGAATTCCAGTCAGTAGAGACTAATGTTCCTTCTGAAAGCTGTGCCAGAGAAAAGTGTTTTTGCATATTTGATTATAATAGGAATTCATTAAATCCACTTCCTTCCATCAAATTAAGTTGGAAACCTTTTCAGTTGTGAACTATATCCAAGTCTTATTTTTTATTTCAAGGTTGAAAAAATACATTTTAAATATGTCCCACACTTGTGTCACTTATGATTAAGAAACACAGCTATGCAAAACCTGCAACATCAGTAGGAAAGCAGCCTTCAGGCCTGAGCATTTGTACAAACAGAATAGGCTTATCTAGTGTTGGTGGAATTAGTTTCCAAAGACACGGGAGTTCTGCTGGACAGCTATCCCTGTAACACGTTCCTTCGTAAGCATGGACCATGGAAACGCAAGACACTAAGTCTACTTTTTGTATAGCTGGATGTTAGTTCTTGTGATCAGAGAAAAGCATTCCATTCCTTATCCTAGAGTGATATGTTTGACAGTTTCCTTAGTGATCTCAAAAGGTAATTGAAATGGATGCCATTCTGGGAAGCAGAAATCAACGGCTTCAGTGACACAAGAAACTCAGTTATTCCACATGCCTGGAGTAATATTCTGTCTGGTATGCTGATATTGCCATATTTTACATGTTAAAACTCCACACCACAGGATAAAGCAATGACATCTAAAGAATTAGTCTATATATTTTCCTTTTTTCTGGCCTATCCTCAAATTATATTTCAGCCAGTCTACAACAAAACTGGCAAAAGCTGAACTAATGCTTGCTCTAGGTCATTTACCTGGGTATTTCTTCAGTTCTTGCAGCTTAGACTCATTGATGTCTGTAGCAATGACTTTAGCTCCTTCTTTAGCAAAAGCCTGAAGAATACAAGAGAAGCAGTTAATATTTAGTTAACATTAACTATTATCAGAAATAAAACCTGTTTTCTTCTTATTTTCTTTTTGGCTTGAAATAAAAGTTGGCCAAAGGCAGCTGATCTCTCACTTTTCCTTCTGGGCACGTCAGGAAGTAATGAACATCCATTACCACATTCTGGGGACAGCTAAGTAACTATACATGATAAAACAGATCTAAGATTTTTTTTGTTAAAGTAAGGAATCCATAAATAAAGTGCGATAACAGTAACCACACTAAGACAACTGGCATTGTTATTGCCCTTATTAGCTGCATGTGCACTAGCAAGCATGTTACAAACACGTAGGGCTATAATTGTCTGTATTGTTGGATTTAAATGAAGTTATGGGATTTGACAGTTACAGGCATGAGTCATAAAAATGAATGGTGGTATATAAACTTTATGAAAATCCTTTGCATCCAGATCATTGGAAGAGAGCAATATTAAAAGAAGCATGACTTTTCTTTGATTCTTAAACCTTCATATTCCTTCATTCTTGATGCTCCCTTCAAACCTGCTTTCTATGCATTGTGATTACTGATAAATCAACAGCTCTGCTAACAAAGTGACTTCTGTATCAAAAGTTTTCTGATATCTCAGACTATAGCCTCTAATCTTCAAAATAAGTGTCTCACGCAGCTTAAGAGGATAGTGGCATTAAACACGTCAGCCTTCCGTGGCTTATTGGGTATTTACACAGTGAAATCAGCAGGTAAATAACCTAATCCTTGGACTGACCATTTCAATGTGCACAAGATCACTGCCAAGATCAGTCTTCTGCATTCTTAACTGCATGCATGAGAAACTAACTAGTCTGGCAAAAATTCTACTTACAGAAGCTTTTCCTGGCTTGTTGATTACATTACAGAGATAGTGAGATTACTAGTTTCTCTATCTGCTATAGAAGAAGGAAGCAGCAGGGGAAGAACTGGTCAAAAAGAATTAAAAGGTAACCAGAAAGTTAATACATACATTGACTTCCGTTTAATGGTAATTACATAAAATTTGTAAAGGATTTCTCACACTTACTTGTTGCAAACAACATTGTAACTGTGCTGTTAGCATCACGTAGGCTTGGTTATGTCAGCTATTAATGTAGATAAAATATCTTGGCTTTACTGTAGGAGATCTTTGCAGTATTCATCCTTATAACAGGAAACATTCCCTCTATCCTCCTTATCTTCTTCCAGAACAAAGCAGCAGAGATATGAAAGGTACAGACAGTACCAACCATATATTGTTAGAGGAGCAGTTGCAGCCGTTCTCAAATCTTGCCCTTATCCTTGCCCAATGTCACCACTGAGAGCTGAAGACTTTCAGAAATTCAAACAGCACAGAGCATGCACTATACAGTATAGTGACTATATTATTCCCTGAATTTTCCAGGGAGTATTTCTGGCTTCATCTATGGTTTATTAATTCAAGAACTTGTTTGGTGCAGGTGTCATTGGACAAGCTAGCATTAAAGACCTAGCTTAGGTACAGGAGAACAAGCATTTTCCAACTTACTATAGCAGCTGCCCGGCCAATCCCTTGTGCTGCTGCAGACAGCAGTATGATCTTCCCATCAAGCCGACCCATACTGCTGACCTGTGCAGACAGAAGATGTCACAGAATCTTAACAAAAAGATGAGCCAACAGCACTCCCTGGGAATCAGATGCAAATGCATTCCAAAAACTAGACGTGAATCAGAGTACCTCTGTCATCGAATCATGTCACAGATTGTCCTCTTTGGTTGCAGTGTGACCATGAGACATCCAGGATTCTGAGGGGGGGGGACTGCCTCAGCTTCCCCCACCCCCCAATAAGTACGAGCCTCAAAAAGATCAAAAGGCATTTGAGCTAAAAAGCCAAGCTTTATTATAATAGAAGCCAGAATTTATTTTTCCTTAAACAGAAAAAAAACCCCAGTCAAGATGAAATGGAAAAGTACAATAGCTTGTAATCTAGTCCTTCTACTGTCTGTTGTGTTCTTCAAAAGCAAGCCTTTCTTTCTTCCACTCCTCTCAAGCTACAAACTCATCAACTTCCTAGACTGCAATAAATTCCACACAAAACCCTGGCCTTGGTGTCTTCTCTGAATTGTCTTAGGAATCTTCCAGCACAGCAGATTCCCAGCTCCAACAAGGCAGGAGCATGAGGGCAGGAATGAAGCTCTGTCCTGCCTCACCTCTCTTGCGTTCCATGCTCTCAGGGAACTACTGAGCATGCTTGGGGCAAGCGGTAGGGAACCTCTAGGAGGTTCTACCTTACTCGAGGTGTAGCAGACAAAAGGCAAAATGTAGCCCTATTCTGCCCAAGCACACACTCTAGTGCTGCATTATATTTAAAGAAATACAGTATGTGACATTGCAGACAAACAAGTAAAAGCAAATGCCATCCTCTCACTCCTATGGATTCAAAAGTTTCCAGTAGGATTTTTGGTTATTTAAGGAATAAACTACTTAATCAGATGTTTCAGAGAACTGCATGAAAATAAGGTCACTGTGTTTCAGTCAGTGTGGTATCTGGTGTTTGTTAACTGGGTTCCCAATAAGCAAAGGCTTCTGCACTTTCACAATCCACAGAGCAAAATTTATGTAGCTGTGAGTGTAGAAAGGTGTCCAAGAACCTGACGTCTTTAAATATATACATGAATCCAACATACTAGGTACTTCACTGAGAAATTAAGATGCCATAATCTCCCATAGGTTAGCAGCCAATACTATCATCTAGAGAAGCTCAAATCCATGCTGTTACTCAGATTACTGACTCAAATTTAGTGTCCTATGTCTTAAACCAGATTATTCATTTATCTGATTTTGACTAGAAAGTCTGTTTTCTCAGCAGCTTTTCCCAACAGAAGTTGCAGCAAAACTAATGATTCCCTTAAGGTTACAGATTCAACAAATCAGTCGTCTTCTGAAGCAATTCAACTGAAAAATTCTTTCTGTTTTAATGCAAAAAAACATTAGATTTTTTGATTTAAAGTCAAACTGAATTACAGACCATGTTTCAAGACACTGAAATGTTTCACTGTAGGTTTTCCCCCTATAACTGGAACACACACACACAAAGAAAGAAACAAAGCACAAAAGAACAGTCTCCTAAGCAAACAGTAATTGAAAAGCACCTCTCTAATTAGGGGAAAGCACAATACCTTAAAATCACTTTTTAGGTTGCCTAGTAAAAAGATGTCTCTTTGGATGCCTCTGATGGTAGGCTATATAAGGTTATATGAGATTAGGCCTGTTTTAGCATAAACTTTTTCCATTGACAGGTGAAAAAATACCAAGTTAACCAAGCAAAATGAGATTACACACACAACTAGGTTGCTCCATCTCTCTCATGTACCAGGCTTTCCAAAATCCAACTCCTCAAACAAAACTCTGGGAAAGGTTCCATTAATTGTAGCAAGTCCTGAGTATCTCAACAATGAGCTCAAAGTGCTCCCTCAAGGCAGAGGAAGCTTGCTCTTATTCTTTGTTTCACAGTTCAAGTACTTCCCCAAATGACTGTAACATTTTGGAAGCAAAAACGCACTATAAATACACTTTTCAATTTAACAATCAGTTTTTATGAACATTTGCCACACCAATTCTGTGAAGTGTTTAAAACTAAACATTAATATATAGTCACTCACCGAGAGATCTCAAACAGCTTGTTATGCTTAGTGACCTTTGTACAGAAGGAAGTTTTATGCTTGTTTTGCTGTGCTTGCTGGGATTTGTAGTCTAACTGTTAGGTTTCTTTATATGAACATAATTTCCTGTTGAAACATTGAGATGCTGCCATCTAGTGAAACTCAAGATTAAAAGTGTGATTTTTCTCCTGCACAGGAAAGGACCGAGAATGTTCACCAGTATTAGCTGACCATTCTCCCTAAGGAATTCAAGAAATCAACAGGCTTCCCACCAAAAAAAGGCCACAAGCATGTTTTAACCAAGCAATCTCTAACAATATAAGCTCTCAAATTCCAAACTAGGACAATACTTGCATGATAGGTTGTTTTTTTTTTTTATAAACTAGTGATTTACTAATTTTTCTTTTTTTTTTTTAATCTAGCAGTTTAACTTACATTTGTGAAGGTGGAGTTAATATCAGACTGTAAAATTCTAGGACAAACTAATTTAGTTATACACTCACATCAGACCTAAAGCTACCCTGATAGAGTTCTTAAATAATTTGTAATCCTGCTTGAACTGCAGTTGGGCACATTTTCCTCAGAAAAGCCGTTTCTTTACTGCGAGGGTCACGGAGCACTGGGACAGGCTGCCCAGAGAGGTTGTGGAGTCTCCATCTCTGGAGATGTTCAAAATCCACCTGGACACTTTCCTGTGTAACCTGCTGTAGGGAACCTGCTTTGACAGGGGGGTTGGACTAGATGATCTCCTGAGGTCCCTTCCAACCCTGACCATTCTGTGATTTCTGCGGGTAAACTGGGACACATATGCAAAGTTCAGCAGTATTATCTTGCCTTTCTGCTCAACTGTGATAGCTTTCTAAGGCTTTGTAAATCAGCTCCCCAGTAAACAAAATCTTTAATGACTAGGCTTTTAAAAAGCATTCATCCATCTGTTCCTAACACCTTCTGCTTACTGAATTCAGACACAGACCTACTGCAATAGGTTCCTGTTTTTCAGCTCAGCCACCAGAAATCTTGAAGTGTTCCAAGCAAGCAATAATTAACAAAACCCCCTTGAAATTGTATGTAAAAAGTTGATCTCTGTATACTTTGTTTTCCCCTTCTGTAAGGAAAAAGTCAGTTTAATTCCTTTGTTAGAATATCAAAATGGAGGGAATGAAAAAAAAGAGCCAGTAGTCAAAGGAAATATCATTCAACCACACTGGCAAATTGAAAAACAAAACAACCCCACAAAACCAAAACAAATTCCCCAAACAAAACCAAAACAAACACACGCCATTCAAACACCAGTGCTATGCACTTACCACTGTCAGGAAATAAATTGCTCCTACATACAAGGCTGTGGTAGGAAGAGAGACATTGCAGTGGAACTCAGTATTTATAACCTGTGTCCTTTTGGCTAGCAATATGTTTAAAAGCTTCTCAAAATACTTTCCAGTTCAGAGATTAAGAGAGAAGTACTTGCAATTTCTTAGTAGTTACTGTAGTTGGCAGTTTTCAGCTACAGAAGGCGAATAGACAGTCGGATCTTTAATAAAGATCTCTGAAGTACCTCCATCAGGTAAACAGTCCTTGTGTAACTCTTCCAGTTCCAGTAGCTGCTGAATGTTCAGGAAAATGTCAGTGTAACCATTTGCTTATCAGTTTGGATAACCTAAAATAGAGTACTTGAGACCTAGCATCGTTTAGAGCTTTATGCCTATAAAACAAGGACGATGCTTTTGATGCAGGTAGCTTTGTTAGGTATGACTTTCTCATCTCAGGATGGATGATTTAATTCTTAACAGAGTTGATCCCAGATTCCCAAGTGCCAAATTCCTATTTAGTTGGCGGTGGAGGGCATGTGGGGAGAAAAGGGAGGTGGATCTATCTTTTAGACTTCAAGCATTTCCTGACAGAGAAAGACTCAGAAAGAAGTGAACACACCACCAGTGACACAGATTTGTGCAACAGTAAAATTCTGCAGAAAGTAATTATTGCAGAAAGTTATAGAGGACACAGACAAGAAGCATAATGATGGAAGGGGTGAGATTACTATAAAAGACAGTCTTTAGGCACCGAATATTGTAATCAACATCCTTAGATATTAGCACAAGTGAAGTGACCAGCAAAAGTATTTTTAAATACTTAACACATTGAAGTTTATTGTCAAAACAAACCTTCTTATATAAAATATACAAAAAAGTAGGTTTCATAATGCAGATAAGCAGGCTAATAAAATAGTCTGTCTTGCAGCCCTGATGGTCCAGTTTATTTTCCATTCACTAGAGTAGCAGAAAAGTGTCAGGTCCATTGCTTGCTACTAAAAAAACCCCAATACCAACTTCAGACAGGAACTAGGGGTATAGCTGATGCAAATATAGACGATGCAAAATGCAAAGTTACTCTAGGCACCATAATTGGTTGGGCTGCAGAAGTATTGTAAGGTTAAGGGGAACCCTTGATTGTGTGCCCTACAAACAGCAAGTTAGTAACTTCAGTTGCAACGTTCAGATAGAGAGGTTAAAGTTGTGAAAATGTAGTTTCTGTGAACTTAGAGAAAGTGTGGTATAAAAATCATATGTTGAGAAACAAAAAGTATAGTTCTTCCCAACACAAGGGCACTCTGAAGATACAAATATCGACCAGCCAGAAGAGGGCTGTTTTAGGAATGACAAAATGAAAAGTTTAAGATTGAGAGGTTTCACAGTAGATTAGTTTGTGATCTGTTCCTATTTCCATCTTTTTTCTTCAATACATTGTCTTTTATTTCTTTGCCATCCAAAATTTTCTTTGCCATCCAAAAAAAAAAAAAAAACAACTCCACCAAAGTAGAACATCATGAGATCAGCAGGTTGTGGGCAACAGAACCGCTTTTCCATTTTTGTTCTTGTATTCCAACTTGTCCAATTGTGGGAAGCAGCAACTTCAAGACAGCAAGGGATCTGCAAGTCACCAGAGCTCCTCCCACAATTTGTGTAAAACGCTGATGGCTTTTGACCTGAAGCAATTATCTTTCATATATGCAGACTCTGGCTATAGCCACTGCAAAGGCATCTTACAACAGAGCAGCTTTATTGGGTGCTGCAATCAGGGGCTTTATCTTTCTCTGAAGTTCCAAACCAGTGCTTAAGATATTCTTCTGTGGGCTCTATTCCCGCAGGTCGTGTATCTACACAGAAGACAAGAACATTAAAGTAACACTTAAACTTTCCCAGTTAGACAAGCAG